TATACTTTTATCTTTATTATATTTTTTAATTTCATTTAGATATAGTCTTCAATATGCTCAGACTGATTATCTGGTAAGTGGAGGTCATGGATCAGATTGGCAGTTAATGAGAGTATAATTAGTAACCTCCTCCAGTCCTCCCTCCCTCCCTCTCTCCTTCACTGTCATTTGGAGGGTAAGGCCTTCCTTTATTTAACTTTGATTGTATTACTAATAATAATGTACATGTATTGGACACATTTTACATTTCTCCCTCCTACTGGTGGGCAAAATAATATTGTCCTCTCTCTCTCTCTACAGTAGGAGGAGGAGGATCATTATGCCATTAGTTAATTCATAATGTCTGTTGATACTCAATTGAACTGGACGATAAAGGAGGAGATATTAATGGAGACACACCCCTACCTCCTCTGGAGAAGTAACAACAACAACAATAAACAACAAACAAGTAAACAAACAAGAGGAGGAGGAGACAGTAATACAGGACAAGTTAAAGGTATGTACATGTATCAATTAATAATTAATTCCACCCATTGCATTGACTGATGAGAGACAAAGCTGCTGGCTATTAGGTAAGTTGCTATTGATAAGTATCTAATATAAGCATCTCTTTCTCCTTTTAGAATCAACTCCTCCTACTGATACAGTCTCTGCTATGATACCTTTAGCTCCTGCACCAAGTGAGTATAATGGTTCTTCACTTAACTGTTATTTATTATGACCTCCTGACCACCTTTGCCTTTGGATCCTATGTTCTTTTTGCTGTTCAGTGAAGGAGCAAACACAGGCGGTGGCTTAGCAGTTTAATGATGAGTTACTTAAGAAGGAGGCCACCACTGACTCAAGGAGTGAGACCTTCTCTTCAATAATGAAAGTATGATATAGTTCATACACAACTGTACGCTCTCTTGCTCTCTCTGTAATAATTGTATATGAAATATTGATATCATTTAAGATTTTATTGAAGATAACACTCACTCATTACCTTACCTATTTGTTACACATTATTCTGTGCTGCTGTGATTCACATTCAGTATATAATCTTTCTACAATTAGGTGTATAATTCTCTCTCTCTCTCCCTCTTTTAGGTGTGATTCCATTGATAAACTCCGTAAAAGGTGTGAGCTGAGACCATTGATTGAGAGATACAGGACTCACAACAGTTCATGGACTTCTACCAGTTTACGTTTAATGTTGTCAAAAACTCGGGCAGAAAGGACTAGGCTAGTGACATAATGTTATACATGTACATGTACATGTAGGATCATGTTTGCTAAACTTGCAACACAATGGTTTCAACGTACACGTGTTGATGGGGGAATTTTGCAAGTGATGCTACTAAATTTTGAGAGTACATGTACATGTATAATTTAATGTATATTGTATGAATTGATTAAAATATTTTTGTGCTTTTTATTTCTCTACAGATCTTGAGATGGCCATTGCCTGCTGGAATCTTATTTTTACTGGTTGCTTCAAATTTTTGGACTTTTGGTGTGACTTTTTAAAAGCAAGCAATGCTTGTATTGACATATGAAGGTCTCATTTCACCTCTCCCTCTCTCCCCCTCTCTCTCTTTCTCTCTCTCTCCCTCCCCCTCCCTCTCTCAGTCTCATTATAAAGGAGCTGGCAATACCCAAAGACACTTGGAACCTTCTGCTAGAGTTTTCTAACAGGATTGATGACACCATGAGCAATTATGATGAAGATGGTAGGCCTATACTGTATAAGTTGTAATGTCCTCCTCTTTAAATAATTTGTGCTTTGTACAGCACTATATGGCAGCTTTATGTCTTTGTAAATTTTTTGATGATTTTATGCATATACATTGTACACTGTACATGTATAGCACTTTACTGTGAACATGTACATGTACAGCACTTTACTATGAACATGTACATGTACATTAATGATTTTGTGATAGGTTTATTATTCATAGGTCAGTCTATACTCAAACTATATGTACATGTACAATGTATACGTATTTCTTGTCATTTCTCTATCTTCTTTTATTCTTTCTGTAGGTGTTCACTGCAAAAATAATGGTGGGTTGTTCACACCAAAAAAGGTGTGTTCAAAGTCATCATATAGCTCACTCCATAAGTGGGTAAATTACACTTTAAAAAGTGGAGATTCCCACTACTATAGGTGGCAAAAAGCTATCAATAATAGTGGTTCCGCAACATTCGCACAGTAGATAAATAGTTTAAACAAAAATATTTTAAAAATAAATACTATATAGATCTAACAATAATGTTTACAGTTTGTGTTCTTTCTTTCATGCATTCTTGAACATGCACCTATAGCAAGAGACACAATTAGAAAAAGAGATGGAAACACCCAATTTCCTTACTGTGTCATTAGAATTGTAACAGCTAAAAAGCAAAGTCTTAATTGTCTTGTATTGAATCAGCCAAGGCACAAATCATTCAAATGAACATTACTATAATTACAAACAGTAGCCTATGTAAATGGGGAAGGAAGAATAAAGGATAATCAACAATAATCAACAATATGCATACTATGTCATGATATACAAGTCTTCTATACAAATTCAG